AATCCACCTGCCAATGCAGGGGACACAGGTTCCAGCCCTGGTCCGGGAAGATCCCACATGCCGTGGAGCAACTAAGCCCGTGCGCCACAACTACTGAAACTGAGTGCCACAACTACTGAAGCCCGTGCGCCTAGAGCCCGTGCTCCACAAGAAAAGTCATTGCAGTGAGAAGCCCGCGCACCGCAACGAAGAGTAGCCCCTGCTCGCTGCAACTAGAGAAAGCCCGTGTGCAGCAACGAAGACCCAATGCAGCCAAAAAAATTAATTAAATAATAAATAAAATAAAATACACTGCAACAAAAATAAAAGGACCATCAAAACCCAGAAAAACATGTTTGCAACATATAAGACAAATAAAGGTCAAATGCATTACGGTGGTTACCAGGGGCTGGTGACAGTGGGGGGACGGATAGAGAGTTAGTGCTTAATGGGTACAGAATTTCAGTTTGGGAAGATGAAAAAGTTCTGGAGAGGGACAGTGGTGATGGTTGCACAACAATGTGAATGTATTTAATGCCACTGAACTGTACACTTAAAAATGGTTAAAATGGTAAATTTTTTGTAGTTGTTGTTATGGGCATTTAAACCACAATAATGACAATAAATGTTTCAAGGATCCTTGGGTTTGTATCTGCTTAGAAAGACTTCCCACGCCTGAAGATGATAGAGTTGTTTATTCTTCTAGAAGTATTGTTTGTTAATACGGAGTTGGTAGGAGAACCAACTTTTGCATAGGTGTTTGAGGTGAAGAAAGAAGCTTCTGCAACAGTCAGGGGAGAAAGTGAAAAGGACCTGAAGTAAGGTGATGCAGTGGAAGGGCCAGTGTCTTCCGACTGGGAAAGTAGGATGAAAGGATTTGGCTTTCAACTGGATATATGCATGGAAGGTACTTGAATGTTTGTTGATCGAGAAGGGAACAGAAAGTCAATACAGAGAACCCCTGAGGTTTCTAACCCAGGCAGCATGCACAGTAGTAATAATAACATTAATTGATTGATACTAATATTCACTGACACAGGAAGATTAGGTTTGTGGGTGGAATAGGATGTGTTCCATTTTGGACATGCTACTATTTTTAGAGGCAGGCAGGTCAGCCATCTGGGTGAGTTCCAGAAAGCAATCAAAAGGTGGATCTGCTGTGGAAAAACATTAAGGGGGAGAAATTTGACTTGGAACTCAGCCAATCAAGATGATTGCTGAAGCTATGGGATTGTATGGGAGAGTATAAGAGTGTCAAGAGAGAATGGATAAGACCTTGAAGAATTTTAGCCCTTCAGTGGGACGAAGAGGAAGTATAGCCAGAGCAGCAAATAATTTGTAGAAAAGGTACTTGAAAGGGGCTTGACGAAAGGGTTTTAACAACAGGAGACTGGAGGGTTGGGGTAGCAGAGGTGGTTAAGGAGTTCCAAGCAGAAATAAGAATGTGAAGAAATAGGGAGCAGGAAAGCGCTCCACCAAAGAAGCCCTTCAGTAAACTAGATGTTGAATAAATTTGTTGTGGAATCGGAGGTTTCAAGGATGGGTTACTCAATATCATTACTGTGGAAGAGAGGATGATGACCAAGAACAGGCCATTTCCCTCAGGGTAACTGTGACTATTGACATTTGGTTGCTTGATCATGAAAAGTCTGACAGCATTTGACCTACTTCACTTAAGTTCCAGCCAAAGATATCTGGTAAATTTGGAATGTCTCAGGCTTCTAAACGTAGTCAGCGTCCTCTATCCTAGGTTTAGGTTGGGTGTTCCAATTTCCTTTGTTGTGACGCATCTTTGTGCCAGATCCCAAACAGGTGGTTTTCAGTCTACTTTCTTCATTACTTTTTGTTTGTTGTGTTTGTTTTTGAAGTTTTGTTTATTTTTTTAAATGAGAAATTGGATGAGATCATGTTTCTGGGGAAAGGTGATAATGGCAGCAATGTTACTGTCCATGGTTCAAGTATCATACTGCACATGTGTGCTGTCAGAGGGTGGCAAGAAAACTATCTAAGCCCAACTTGAGTTCTACTTTCCCCAAAGACCCTACACCTGGTTTCAAAGAGTCACAGTTTGGTTGCTATTAAAAAGATACATAGAACTAACAGCTTGAAAAAAAACTTCAGAGTTCCATTTTTCATTCTCAGCCTGGCAAAGATATACAAAGTTTGATAACTGTGGGAAAGCAGGCACTGTCCTACAGTGCTGGTGGGAGAGTGAATTGCCATGACCTCTTTGGAAGGCAACTGACAATATTTACCAAATGCACATATCCTCTGACCCAGGGTATTCGAGACAAGATGATTCCCTGCAGCATAATCTGTTGTGGCAAAGATGGCAACGACCTAAAATGTCCATCAACAGAGACTGGTTAAATAATTATGGTGTATCTTCACCACGAAATACTTTAGGCATTACTGCTTCTTTATGCATAAAATAGCTCTGGAACTATACGTTAGAAACTGGTCACCCCGGTGGCCTCTGGGAGGGGACTGGGCTAAGGGGACAGGGATGGGAGGGACTTTTCATTTGCCTTCTATACCTGGTGAATGTATAACCTACCTCCACCCACCACTCTGAATGAAGCAAAACAGTTTCCTGGTGGCAGAGAGTACACTAATAGTTTTTAACATATTAGGAATCTTGAGATAAATCCTAACCACAGTCCTGAGTTATGATGGGAATCATTTAGAGAAGTTCAGGAGTTGAAGGCCATCTCATGTTTCCCACTCACCTTTTCTCTCTACACAGAACACAAGGCATGAAGGAAGGGAAGGATAAGAGCAAGACAGCACAAAGGAGCCATGAAGCCAAGAACTTGTGGGACAGACACTTTATTAAGACTTGCTTATAGTAAAACATTCAACCCCTTGACGTGTCCATTAGTTTGTTATTTTGTTTTCTGCCGAAGACCACAGCCTGATGCCCAAAAGCCTTTAGCCTCATCTTATGTCAGTCTAGTCAATGGCTGCCTATTTTATAGTTCAACTAATTGAGAGTCAGGAAAATCTGGTCTTAACATCCCAAATTAAGGGCTGTAAGATTTGCAACCCATTTATATAAAGTGCTTATGTTCAGTGCAAAAAGGGCACCCTCAGAAGGGCAAGCAGATGCCAGGAAATGATGTTTTCTGGGAGACAGATGCATTCTATGACTCAAAGCCACTTGTCACACTTTCCCATAAAGGGGTCTAGTATTTTCTTTTCAGTCTCTCCCCTCCCTAAGAGGACCAAAACTTTGAATCTGACAGATGCTCTTACAGTTGTTTATTTTACTATTAAAAAAACCTGGTTCAGAGGGAAATCCACAGGGTTTCTAAGCGCCAGAAATAGTGACTTTGGCTTCTAGCTCCCGTTTCTCTCAGCAGCAAACGTGAGATCGACAGGCTGAGCTCTGGCTGGTGGGAGGCTCGCAGCTGCAGACCTTTCCTCACACCCCTCATTTGCAAATCCAAGTCATGGACTATGGCAGACCTTTTCCAAAACGCTGTCACATCTCTGGTGGGAAGACAGACCAATGCTTATTAAAGGAGCACTTCACCTAGTTGCCCAACTGGACATGACCTATTTCACCATCCCCTTGTTTAATTCTTCTTTTTTAAAAATAAATTTATTTATTTATGGCTGAGTTGGGCCTTTGTTGCTGCGCACGGGTTTTCTCTAGTTGCGGAGAGCGGGGGCTACTCTTCATCGCGGTGCACGGGCTTCTCATTGCAGTGGCTTCTCTTGTTGCAGAGCACGGGCTCTAGGCATGCAGGCTTCAGTAGCTGTGGCTCGCGGGCTCTAGAGTGCAGGCTCAGTAGCTGTGGCGCATGGGCTTAGCTGCTCCGTGGCATGTGGGATCTTCCCGGACCAGGGCTCGAAGCTATGTTCCCTGCATTGGCAGGCGGATTCTTAACCACTGAGCCACAGGGAAGTCCCCCTTGTTTAATTCTTGTCCGCTGGCCCAACTTCAAAGTGAACCCATGACTCCCTTTGTTAAGACAAAGAAGTGCACTGCCTTCTCAATGACCTTGGGTCTCTGCGTGTCCATCCTTCTGCTCCGAAGAGACTGAAGAGAAGCAGGAGGGAAGAGGAAGTGATTTCCTAACCAATTTAAGGGGCACATATAGGACGGTAACTCAAACAGGCAAAGTCCAGCCATTCAGTTCCAGGGTCTTGGCTACTGTTTCTCTCCCCAGACTCTCAGAGAGGAAGCTACTTTCTCTCACTTTGCAGCAGGGATATTGACAAAGGCCAGTTCTTTGCTTGTAAACAACCCTCCTGCAATCCTGTTTGGAGAGGTTCCCTTTTCTCTCCCTGTGGATAAACGTGATGGCACCCCTCCTGCCCATGTGTAGGGCTCCAGACCCCATCACGTGTACAGGCAGCCACAGCTTTCAGATGCCAGCACCTGAGCACCTTTCTGTTCAGACCACCTTCCAAAGATTCATGGTAACTCTTGTGCTTGTGAGAGGAGAGACACAGAATGGTTTTATACCACAGGAAGCAACTGCCCTAAAGCCATCTCTGAATTTGGGGAAGGGAAGGAGGGAAGAGGAAATCCTTTTGATGCTGCTCTATAATTCTCTGTTAAAACCCTTCTAGTCATGAGGAGCTACTGGAACATCTCCACACAGAGGGAACTGTGTACAAACAGGATGAACCCGGGTTAAGAACCAAAAACGCGGGGAAGGTTTTCAGACAGGCAGAAGTCTAAAGTAAAGTGCCTCTTTGCAGTGGGGGGAGAGTTTCATTTGTTCAGAAATGCTTGGGCGTGAACATGAGCGCAAAGAGCGTGCACACACACACACTCACTCTGAGGTAGAAAGAACTGGCCATCTCCAGACAAACACAGACTCCACAATTTTACAGAAACATGGCACTTGTGTGAAAGGTCCTGTCTTTGCCCAGGATGGCAAGTCGGGTCCAATTCCAGCTCTTTCCCACCTGGGGTGGAGCCAGGGAAGTCCCATCCCACAGGAGGAAAGAGCTGGAAGCATGTCCATCACTCCCCTCCCACGGTTGTCAGGCCCCGTAGTCCAGGGTCACTTCCTGGAGCCCGAGCCATGGGCACCCCGGCTGTGGCTCGTCAGAAGCCACTGGGAGCAGATGTCTTGCACTACTGCGTCCCCACTGCTCTTGGCGGCCTGCTGCACCTGCTGGACAAGGACCGCGGCCCGTGAGTGTTCTTGCTTCACGGCGATCAAGTAGGCAGAACGCAGCTTGCAACACGTCAGGTAGGCCTGAACCTGCCAGTTGGGTGTAAGAAACAGCGGGAAGGAAACCGTCACTGACAAGTCACCAACAGGCACACAGAGACCTCAAGCAGCTGAGATACCACTTCTCACCTACCAATCAATAATTGGGTTCTTGGGTTTCCCTGATGGCGCAGCGGTTGAGAATCTGCCTGCCAATGCAGGGGACACGGGTTCGAGCCCTGGTCTGGGAAGATCCCACATGCCACGGAGCAACTGGGCCCGTGAGCCACAACTACTGAGCCTGCGCGTCTGGAGCCTGTGCTCCGCAACAAGAGAGGCCACGATGGTGAGGGGCCCGCGCACCGCGATGAAGAGAGGCCCCTGCTTGCCACAACTAGAGAAAGCCCTCGCACAGAAACGAAGACCCAACACAGCCAAAAATTAATTAATTAATTGATTAAAAAAATACTCTGTCAAAAAAGATTAGAGGTTATTAGGGAAAAAAAATAATTGGGTTCTTGCCTTTTATTACATTACGGCCACTCTTTAAATATAACACTGTGTTATTTTATAGTGTAAAAATTATTACAAATAAGCTAAGAATTTCAAAAAGAAGAAGGTAGGCAGGCAGAGTCTGGCCTGTAACCACTCCCTCCAAGGCCCTCCTCACTCTTCTGGGCTCTCCAGCTTCCTCCTGGCCTCACTGCCGACAAACTGTGGTTTTGTAGTTATTTGGCTGATGATTTGACTGATGACTGCCTCCTTGGCTAGGATGGCAGGAATAGTGTCTACTTTTTCTAACCATTCCTGGTGCCTAGCACAGGGTCTGGCGTGCAGGTGTTCAATGAAAATGCGTGAAGTGAATGAGTGAATGAATGAGCCATCATACCTGCCCCCTACAATGGGCACACAGAGCCCCTTTCTCCATTTTCTGTTTCTGACCTGCTGAATTAAAAATCTTTTAACAGGAAATTTTGGGAAGAAAATGCACACAATTAGAAAAACTCTAAATAAGGCGTGACCCCAGGTTGATCTGACTTGCAGTTTGGCACAGAGGCAGCTCAGTTTCCTACATTCAGGACACCCTCCAGCTCAGGAATGCCCCGCTGGGGG